ACAGTGGCGTCACTATGGGGGTGTGGATTCGTCAGGGGGGACACCATCCAGGGTGCCATCAGGGGGGTTAAGCGCAGAGGAGGCAGCAATCATGACATTCCTGCCAGCGGTTAATGCAGCACTTTGAGAGGACTCTGGCCAGGGTAGGAGAGGGATAGAGGTACCATGGGGATGAGGGCAGCGGCTCTAGACACTTCCCCTCCTGGGGACTTCAGTGGAGGGGTGACACCACAGCCCACATCCCGGCTGTAGGGAACAGTAAGCCTCGGTGGTGAAGCGATCTGGAGGTGCGCGCTGTGAACTCGGAGTAACCTGCATTGTGTGCAGCCGGTCAATGACAGTGATTGCCAGCCCAGCAGCTTAGTGTGTCACTCTGTTTAAAGCTATGCTAGCCAGTTCACAGAGTGTTACACTGAGTGCCACTACAGAATATCTGCAGTCTCTGATCATTTCTTGTACAATGTCTGCAGTCTCTGACCATCTCCTGTAGTATGACCGCAGTCTCTGACCATCTCTTGTGGTATGTCTGCAGTCTCTGACCATCTCTACTACTATGTCCGCAGTCTCTGACCATCTCCTGTAGTATGTCTGCAGTCTTTGACCATCTCCTGTGGTATGTCTGTAGTCTCTGACCATAGTTTACTGCACCAGGTGACACCAACCATAGTGACACCGCTGAGATGAACCCTATGAAAGCTATGCAAAACAGTATTGATGCTGTTCCCTATTGTCAGCAAACATTTGGTACCGACACAAGAGGCCCAAAGTTGGATCTATAAGAGGTTAGTGAAAGTACAAATTTTCACCAAGGGGATTGAGTGTTGGTTTTAGTTCCCATGGTGGATAGTACATTCTGGGCAAGAGAGGGGGGTTCTTGTGAGATAGTGAAATGAATCAGCGAGGTTAACAGCAAAGTTTAATAGCCAAACAAAAAAAAAGAGAAAATGCATCACATAAACCTGATTAAAGCTTGGAAAGATAGAGAGGCTCTCTTAGCCCTGATTGATAAGCCTGTGGTGATAGTTGGTGGGATAAATGATGGTAAAGTAGCACCATCCCTGTCCCCTGCCAAAAAACAGGAATCAAAAGAATTTCTGCAGCAGAACGAGGAAGCATTCTCAGAACTTCCTGGCTGCACTGATGTAATTAACCATGACATTGTTATTGACCCCAAGGTTTGTGTCCATCTTAAGATCAACTGAATTCTGAAAGTCAGGCATTGGCAGAAGAGGTACAGGGAATATTAGACCTTGGCAGGGACATAACTAAAATTGCACCCTTGGGCACACTAAAATGTTGCGTGGTATACAGGCCACTGTGAATGAGTGAATGTTGGTTGTGCATACCGCCTAACCATCCCAACATCCCATTTCAATGAAATCCTGGCATCCTATGGATCCCCATGTCAGTAACACTAACGTACCTCATGACGCAGTGGAAGGTTGTCCCCTCTAAAACCAGTCTGCTTGCTCTCAGCAAGTAGCGCTAAGGTTCCTGTGGTGGCTGGGGAGTAAGAAGGGGAGATAGATGGGAAAGGGGAGGAATGAGAGGGAGAGAGCAAATTATGAACTGCCAGGGCCCAGGTTCATCGACCAAACTCGGCCCCCCCATGGTCACACTGCGTACAAGCAGCCAGCATCTGAGCTGACTTAGATGCAGGCTGTAATTTTAAATCTACAGCTTGCTCCCAGTACCCACACAACCCCCTCCAGAGTCCTTCAGCAAGCAGCCATTATTAATCTGCTGTCCTAACAACCCACTCCACAGGATCAGTATGCATGATCTTGTAAGCTGTGTACCGGGGTGGGCTCCCCAGGATACAGTGAAGTCATGAACGAGGAAAGCAACCCCAACACCAGCTTTTGCTACAACAGAATTTTACTTAGATGTGGCAAATAAACACAACCACAAATGCTGGAAACATACAATAAATTTACATACACCCAGCCCAAAGGCTGAGACCCTTGTGCTGCACAGCAAGGCGCCTTCTGATGGATGAAGGTAGAAAGTGAAGTAATTTACCTACTGGCGGGCACAACTAAGCTGCCACACCTTACCTGTTATTACCTTAAAAGAGCAGTAATCAGTGTATGGCTAGCCTGCGGTGCAGCACAACAGCTTACAATCTTACATCAGCTCACACGGCCCCTTCATTCAGCATCGTCCAAAAAACATGGCTGCCGTCTCCTCTTCCTGTTCACTAAACTCCAACTCTGAGTGCAAAACCCCACCTCTTCATGAATATACAAATATCTATGCAGTCTGAGCCTGTGTTAGAAAAACAGTGACATCTTGTGGCTAAACTGCAGAATGTCAGTCAAAACATTAATTTACTTCCACACAAACAGTGTTCAAACAATGAGAGCTGTTTCCCCATCTCACAATCTTACTGCACATCTTGGAGTTGGTGTGTTGGCGACACACTCAGCTGCCTTTGCTGCCTGTAGCCTATCAGACCTGCAGCACAGACAAGAGGAAGAGTTTCAGAACACTCCCTTCAGCTCTGTGCTGCAGGTTTGATAGGCAGCTGAATAAAAAAAATTGTTGGCAGTCGCATACAGTGTTTAGATCCAGGGCACCCAATGCTAGATGCTGGGAAAAGTATTGCGAACAGGTTGAGAGTGGATACTGACTAGATACAGCCAACAGCCAGGGGGTTACAAGATTATTGCTGCAGTGTTGTCTTCTAACAAGCTCTGCGAGGATGGACTTTTCTTGTTTTTTTTTCTCTATGGAGAAAAAAAGTGGGCAAGAAGCCTGTAAGCCCTCATTCACGCTTGTGAAGGATCCCGGCAATTAGCTCTGGTTGGAAGCCCTATGGAAAGCAATAGGTGGCTGACAGCTCCCACCGCTAATGAAGGTCGCTGCTAATGGTTGCAGACTCTCTATGTCCAGGGCTGATCAATTGTAGGTAGTCATTCCATGAGCAATTACATGTGAGTGGCTACAATTAGCTAGGGAAATGAAAGAACATTGGGGAACTTGAGAAAGTACAGAGAAGGGCAACTAAACTGATACGAGGCATGGAGGAGATCAGCTATGAGGAAAGATTAGAGGAACTGAATTTATTCTCTCTTGAGAAGAGGAGATTAAGGGGGGATATGATCAACATGTATAAATACATCAGTGGTTCATATAGTGAACTCGGTGTAGAGCTATTCACCCTGAGGTCATCACAGAGGACAAGGGGACATTCTTTACGTCTGGAGGAAAAGAAATTTAATCTCCAAACAAGGAAAGGTTTCTTCACAGTGAGAGCTGTGAAAATGTGGAATAGACTCCCTCAAGAGTTGGTTCTGGCCAGCTCAGTGGATTGCTTCAAAAAAAGCCTGGATTGTTTCTTAGATACACAGAATATAACTGAATACTAACATTTATAGGTAAAGTTGATCCAGGGAATATCTGATTGCCTCTCGAGGGATCAGGAAGGAATTTTTTTTTTCCCAGCAAGAGCAAATTGGATCATGCTTTGCTGGGTTTTTTTGCCTTCCTCTGGATCAACTGTGGGTATAGGATTATAACTTTTTTTTTTTTTTCCTGTGGTTGAACTGGATGGACTGTTGTCTTTTTTCAGCCGGACTAAGTATGTAACTAACAGTCAACTTCCTATTGCTTTCAATGGAGCTGCTGCGCAGAGCTAATTGCTGGGAACCCTCCACTTGGTATCTCGTATAGAAGCCCTAAAGGCTCCATTTGCAAGTGTGACCTTTCCAAATATTACAGAGAATTGGGTACAGGAAATGAAGCAAAAGCCGTACAGCTCAAAATATATTAGAATGAGAATTATGTTGTTATACACTCACTGGCCACTTTATTAGGTACATCTTGCTAGTAACGGGTTGGACCCCTTTTGCCTTCAGAACTGCCTTTATTCTTTGTGGCATGGATTCAACAAGGTGTTGGAAACATTTCTCAGAGATTTTGATCCATTTTGACGTGAGTTACTGTTGCCTTTTTGTCATCTCAAACCATTCCGCCGATTTTCCTCTAACCTCTGATATCAACAAGGCATTTTCATCCTCACAACTGCTGCTCACTGGATATTTTCCATTTTGTGGACCATTCTCTGTAAACCCTAGAGATGATTGTGTGTGAAAACCCCAGTAGATCAGCAGTTTTTGAAATACTCAGACCAGCCCATCTGGCACCAACAACCCTGCCACACACAAAGTCATTTAAATTCCCTTTCTTACCCATTCTGATGCTCGGTTTAAACTTCAGCAAGTTGTCTTCACCACGTCTAGGTGCCTAAATGCATTGAACTGCTGCCATGTGATTGGCTGATTAGCAATTTGTGTTACAAAGCAGTTGAACAGGTGTATCTAATAAAGTGGTAAAGTGGCCAGTGAGTGTATAATACAATTGTTACCACAAATGTTAACATACTGTTATGTACTGCATTTATATCATTTGTTTAATTAAAATATTTTACAGATTCTGTATTCATCCACATCAGTTCCAAACCTCAAGGAGCTGACAGCCTAATGTCCCTGCAATCTATTTTTCTGCTAATTTCTTGCATTCATGTTTTTTTTCCTATCACCATTTCTCTAATTACTGATAGGTTATGAAATCACCCAAACCTTGCAGAGATTTATCCAAATTTTAACATTTACCAAAAGCAATTTAATGGGCTGATCTTATGTATTCTAGCAGATTGGAAACAACATTAACCAGTTACCCATAGCTATATGGTGAGCTTTCAAAGTCATTTTATATGTTGTATGTACGTATACCCCTATGAAAAAGTAAGATTCGTGAACTCCTTTTTTATATGTTCACAGTAACTGAAAAGATGGATGCATTTCATCAGCAAGTATTAATTTTATTAGAAATAATTAGTATTTCAGTATGAAATCAGCATTTAAAAGTGTATTTATACATATTCACTACTCCGGAGTACATTGTAATCTATCAGATAATATTTAGGAAAGCCAAAATGATTAAATATCTACAGCATGCATACAGCGGTGTTTTATAGAAGTAAATATGAAGAATGTCTAAATGGGGCGAATCTTCATTTCGGTGAATTTATAGGAAAATTGTAAGCCTTTATCTGTTTGCCAGTTGATGCCGAGGTTACTGGTGTCAGGCTCCAAGTAATACACTCCGTTCAGATTTGCGGTATAACATTGTTTATACCACCAGGCTCCTCTAAATGTCACCGCACAGTTTGCCGAAGATTTCTCATCATTGTCCTGGTCCTGGGTAGTGAACTTCATGTTTGTGTGATACTTCATAATGTCCCCTGAAATACACCAGGATGGTTAGAATTAACAAAGAACTAACAGTATATACATTTTAACACATAATTTCCAACTTTCCAAAATGGAAACAAAATGGAAACATGGTGGCCACACCCATTCCATACCCAAACTCCTCCTAGAAATCCATTATTAGACCTAATTATGTGCAGTTGATTTGTTTTGTCCCTATTTCCAGAAAACTCAAGATTGTTGTCAACTTGATTAAATATTTTAAAAAATGTGTTTTGTTTTTCATGGTCAGAATAAGCAGTGCCATCCCAACATCCTAAGTCAAGGACCTTCAATTGAATACTAACCACTTGCCTTCTAGAAGATTTACCCCCCTTCATGACCAGGACATTTTCTGCTATAAGATGCTGTGCTTCTTTAACTGACAATTCATATAAATTTGTTTTTACACAAATAGAGCTTTCTTTTGGTGGTATTTGATCATCACTGGTTTTTTTATTTTCTCACTATAAATGAAAAAAGACTGAAATTTTTTTAAAAAATGCAATATTTTTTACTTTATGCTATAAAACATATGCAATAAAAAAAATTTTTTTAATTTCTTGATAAATTTAGGCTAAAATGTTTTCTGCTACATGTCTTTGATAAGAAAAAAAAAAGTGTTTTGTAATTGGTTTGCATGAAAATTATAGCATCTACAAACAATGGTATTGATAATGGAATTTTTTTTTTTTTTTACCAGTAATGGCGGCAGTCGGGACTTATAGCAGGACTGCGATAGTACAGTGGGCATTCTGACACTAAATGAAACTGGGTGGGAATTGACTAACTGCCACTGATATCTCCAGTGACACTAATACTGTGATCAGTGTTAATAAAAAGCACTGTCACTGTACTAATATCACTGAGCAGGAAGGGGGTTAACATCTGGGATGATCAAAGGGTTAACTGTGTGCCAGGGAGTGTTATTGCATGTGTGCTGTTTTACTAGGGGATGTGCTGTTTTTTTTTCCCTGCTTTGCAGGAGAGAGATCTGTGTTGTTTACATACACAGATCTCGCTCCTGTCACTTGCTTCACCGATTGCTGTGTCCCAGCCATGAATTGCTGGCCCAGTGATTGCCATGTAAGGGAGCCAATGCGTGCCCCCCCCCCCATGCGTGCCATGTAAGGGAGCAGAAATGTGTGTCCCCCCACCAGGAAAAGCAGAATTACGTATATTTATATGATTCTGCAGAGAGCGGCTGTCCTGTAGCAGTAAAGCTATATGGGTTGGCTGGAAAGTGGGTAATAAAAAATAATAATATTTTTTTTCTTATTTATGGACAGAGTGGAGAGGGCTCAGAACACCCAGTCAAGTTTTTATTGCTGCCTATTCCATTCCAATAGTGAGAATTACCCTCCCTATGAGTCGAGTTTACTGTTATCACCAAAAGGGAAAGTGAAAAAAACCCAAATGTTGGGTTGTCCCTAGAACATTTAGAGGGGAAATCTTCCAATGAAGACACTGATTCTGGGAATCCCGGTGATGAGTGATTCCCTTACTTTGGAGGGATTTCCTCTCACTTCCTATTTTGGCTATGGGACAGGAAGCGAAAGGAAAATTCCACAGTGGGGCACAGATAGCACAAAAAAATCTGAAAGGGATTATAACCCTCCCTTACACTCTCCAAAATGAAAAATTTTTTTTTGCCTTTAGTTCTACTTTAACGCTATATACTCCATGTTAAAAAACTGCAATCATGCATTTTGTGGCAGTAAAAATAGTGTTTGCCGTTTTATCCAATTACTTACCAACATTTCCATTCTTAAAGTCTCCAAGCAGTAATTTGTATTTGTCAGGTTCCCCCAGCACTTTGATGGAGGAGTATTTGACGTACTGTTTGGTGTTGTTATAATCCTGTACATCTATCCGTAGCTCCCATGTGCCTAGATGGAGACCAAGAATTTTTGAAAGTTGTTTTGTACATGCAATATATTGTTGATACATATGTTTCATACCCGTGATCTCCAAAGTGTGGCCCTTTGCTTGCCTTTATCAGACCCTTGTACAGTGGTACAAGGGTCTGATAAAGGCAAGCAAAGGGCCACACTTTGGAGATCACACTGACACCAACAATGGGGCACCATTCCTACCACTGACACCACCGGGGGAAGAGGATAATTCCTCTCACTGACAACACCAAGAATGGGACACAATTCCTCCCACTAATACCAATGATGGGGCACTATTCCTCCCATTGACACCAATGATGGGCACTATTCCTTTTATTGAAATTAATGATGGGGCACTATTTCTCCCATTGATATCAATGATGGGGCACTATTCCTCCTATTGACACCAATGATGGGGCACTATTTCTCCCATTGACACCAATGATGGGGCACTATTCTTCCTATTGAAACCAACAATGGGGCATTATTCCTTTTATTGATACTAACGATGGGGCACTATTTCTCCCATTGATACCAATGATGGGGCACTATTTCTCCCATTGATACCAATGATGGGGCACTTTTCCTTCCATTGATATCAATGATGGGACACTATTTCTCCTATTGATACCAGCGATGGGGCACTATTTCTCCTATTGATACTAATGATGGGGCACTATTTTTCCCATTGATACTAATGATGGGGCACTTTTCCTCCCACCAATACCAACTATGGGACACTATTTCTCCTCCTATTGAACACAGGCTCCATGTTTTTTTTTTGCTCCTACTGAACACCAAGCCTGAGGCATTATTTACATTGGCTCTGGAGAATTTTCTACTCCCAGTTGCCACAGTCCAGCCCCCTAATGTCTGAAAGACAGTAAACTGGCCCTTTGTATAGAAAGTTTGGAAACCCCTTACCGCTAATGTTAGGCAACCATAACCCTACTATAACTCATCATAGATTTTTGATGGGGCTAATTCACATTGACATTGATGAGTATTTGTAGAATACAGTTATACAATAATGATCATTTATACCCCCTGATTGCTTCACCTTGTGTCAACTCTGTGATCATAAAGACTCTCATAGCAGGACAGAAGGAACATTACTGAAGGCATTTCAACAAGAACCAAGATTAGATCAGGTGCCATTAGTTCATTTCACAGCTACTGTTAGAAAGCACAGGGCCCCGTAAAGCCTACCAGACAGCCCCCCCCCCCCTTTGAAAATATCAAACCTTTATTTCATTAAAATGCCACAGCTGCAATGATATACTTTGCAGCTATGGCAGAAATGATACCCCTGTCAACAAGAGCCATTCGAGTGAATAGCGCTGCCCTGCAAGGCTGTGGTGTGCTAGTGTGGGGTTAAACCAGATGACTGTATATTGCCTCCTCACTGCCCGTCAAATGTTCTCTGAAGAGTAACTCCATAGAGCAAAGCACGTGTGAACGAGACCATAACTTTTTATAATTATTTTCTAAAATTGTATTTCTTTTTTACTTTTTTTTAGAATTTTATTCATTACTTTTTGTTTACATTTTTTGCACTGCCCTGTTGGGAGGGCTTTGGTGAAATATCAGGGGTCTTAATAGACCCCTGATGTCTTACATTTGAGACAAAAAGAAATGAGACATTCATCAGTCCCTTTCTCTGCAGCCTCAGCTGCACAGATGAATTGGATGTGCTCTGAGGCTTCCTGTTCATTCACAAACTGATGCATAGTAAACACAGTTTATTGTGCTTCAGTTGTTTTAGTGATGACTGGATACAAGAGCATTCTGTACCAATCACACTCACTGTATTCATTCAGGAAAGGAAGGGGCCGGTAAATATGACATAACATATTTATGCCCTGCTTCCCATTCTGAAACAATTCCCCTTGGCAGGTGCCTGGGCCCCCCTTTTGAACTGATAGTGCCTAGTATAGGAGAGCCAGCTGTACTGCCTTATTAGAAGCCCTGGTTCATTTAGAAGGAGCAATATCACCAGGATACAAGCTGTTTTGGGAATTACAGCCTCTGTTATAATACTGATTCACCACCTAACGTGGCTGAGTGTAGGTGATGGGTCCACTTTGGACCATTTCAATTGGGTTCTCATATAATGATATCCTACAGCTAAATACCTGATGATGTTAGTAAGTGCAGATTGTCATTTCCCAACCAGAACTCAGTCATGAGGTTGCCAAACCCAGCCTTGTATGATTTCCAGTCACGGTAGAAGTCAACTGATCCATCCCAGCGTCTCTGGATAACCTAATAATGGAAATGCTAGTTATACAGACCTCTCCTATCACAGTATTTAAATAACTTTTTTGAGCAACAGCTTTACACTGAGTCTAACATTTAAAAGGTAACTTACTATCCAGCCGCCTCCATCAGTGTCCATATCACACAGGACCCTCAGTGGCTTCTTGCCGTCTGGGTATATACTGTACCGACTGCTCAGAATGAGACTGTTTGCATAATCTTTACAATTCCTGGCAACTGAAGGAATATAATAAAGTCATCGTCGACTCAACATAGCAGAACTCTGATGGCACCATATGCTATGAAGTAGCATTGTCATCAACACAAGTCCTTGTGGTCCATACAGCTGGACAGATAGGTTCTCTAAGACCCCTTAGCTAAAAGTTCCATGCTAAATTCTGCTTGGACATGTGCTGTACAAAAGAAACAAAGGCATCTGGTGATTCCCCATCTTGCAGCACTTTTTTTATGATATTATTGCCATGAGGCCTCCTGTGAAATATAAATGAGTCGTGCCAAATAGTTGATAAGTGACATATTGGAGAATTACATGAGGGATAGATGGTTTTGCAATGGGGTTACAATGTTCAATAACCATAATAGTCGCATTGTTAGCAGGAACTGGGAAATGACTATACATTAATTAGCCATAACTTTATGACCACCCACCTAATATTGAGTAGGTCCCCCTTTTCTGCCAAAACATCCCCTTTTGCCACCAAAATAGCCCTGACCCATTCAGCCATGGATACCACTAGACCTTTAAAGGTATGCAGTGGCATCTGGCACCAAGCCATCAGTAGCAGATCCTCTATGTCCTGTAGGTTGCGTGGTGAGGTCTTCATTGATCAGACTTGTTTTTCCAGCACAACCCACAGATGCTTGATTCAGTTGAGATCTAGAGAATTTGGAGGCCTCAAATTCGTTGTGTTCCTCACACCATTCTTGAAACATTTTTGCAGTTTGTCAGGTGTACTATTCTGCTGAATATGGCCACTGCCATAAGGCCACTTGGTCAGCAGCAATGTTGAGGTAGGTGGAATGTGTCAAAGTAACATTCACATGAAGGGCAGAACATTGCTCAAAGCATCACACTGCCTCAACCGGCTTGTCTTCTTCCCAAACTGCATCCTGGTGCCATCTCTTCTCCAGGTAAGTAATGCACATGCACCTCCGGCCATCCACATGATGTAAAAGAAAATGTGATTCATCTGACCAGGCCACCTTCCTCCATTGCTGCGTGGTCCAGTTCTGATGCTCATATGCCCATTGTAGGTGCTGTTGGCTGTGGACACGGGTCAGCATTTGCACTGCTGCAATGCAGTCCCATACGCAACAAACACGACAAACTGCTATACCCATTTTTTTTCCTTTCAGCACATCAACTTCAGGGACAAAATGTTTACTTGCAGCCTAATATATCCCACAGAATTTCAGATGCTATTGTAACAAAATAATCAATGTCATAACCTGTCAGTGGTCATAAAGTTATGGCTGATCAGTGTATTGATCATAAATACAGTGCAGAACCTACCATTTTCAGATTCCAAATGAAATGGTGTGATCCAGGTTCAGTGTTTCACTTACTTTGTTCACAGGCTCCTCTGTCACCTAATGGCAAAAAAAAGAAAAAAAGAGCAATCTGTTATCCCATAGATCATTGTCGCTGGGACACACAGATATCTAACAATACAACCCGCACAATGATCTCACCTTTCTGACCCTTCAGTCCTTGTGTGCCAGTGACACCTGTAACAGCAAAGCTTAGCTTGGGTAAAGGCTTTTGAGTAGACCCCCATGGTGACTTACTGTGACTACAGACCAGGGGCAGACTGACCATTTGGGAATTCGGGCACTGCCCGAGGGCCCGGGGTCTGTAGGGGGCCCCATGAGATGCCCCTGGTACCTTTCATAGACTTTTTTGGGTGTTGTTTGAGTGTGGGCGAGGACACAGGGGCCCCATGATCCCCTATTGCCATAAGTTGTCAGTCCGCCCCTGCTACAGGCTGTGGAATTCTGGCAAACCTTTTTGTCCTGGGGTTCCTTCCTTCCCAGGCTGTCCCAGGGGACCCTGATCCCCTAAAAAGAAGCAAAGACAGATAAATTCAGGGGAGCATAAAGGAGATGAGGCAAAGTGTTTTTAAGAAGGAAACCATAATTAACAATGTTGAATCTTTGCATATTTTTATTTCAAATATGCATCAAGACCACCATGATGATAAAACCCAATGAGGGATGGTAAAAAAAAAAGTCAACCTGATCAATGATGGTTTTCAACAGGTAAATACATATTTTAAAAAATGCATTGATCCATGCCTAGAAATTTTATGTAACCTCCGGAAGGTTTTACCCCCTTCATGACCAGAGCATTTTTTGCTGTTCAGCACTGTGTTATTTTGCCTAGCAATAGATTCATCGTGCAACACTGTACCCAAATCAAATTTAGATCATTTATTTCACACAAATAGAGCTTTTTTTTGGTGGTATTTAATCGCTTCCCGTCCGCCCTATAGCAGAAGTACTGCTACAGGGCGGCACAGGTGCGCAAAATCATGTATATATACGCAGTTTTGCATTTCCTACCCACTTCACCATTTGCGGCTGTGGCTGTCAATCACCGGGTCCCGGCACCTGGTGATTGCCAAGCATCTCCAAAGGAGGGAGAACTGTTAGTTAACAAAACAGTTCTATCCCCTGTCAGCTCCTGCACACTGCTTTGCACTGCAAAGCAGTGTGCTTACAGTGAAGCACAAACACACAACACACAGTAAAACACACACCCAGCACACAGTTAACCCCTTCCTGCCCAGTGCCATTAGTACAGTGTCAGTGCTTTTTATTAGAACTGATCACTGTATTGGTGTCCCTGGGGATGTCAGTGACACCAAATCAATTCCCCCCAGTGTTAGAATGCCCACCACAGTCCCACTATAAGTCGCTTATCGCCGCCATTACTAGTAAAAATAATAATTAAAAAAAAATCCCAGTGTATATACCGCCATTTGTATATGCTATAACTTTCACGTAAACCAACTAATTTACATGTATTGGGATCTTTTTGGCAGACATGTAGCAGTATACATTTTGATCTAAATTTATGATGAAATTAGATTTTTTAAAGTTTTTTACTGGACATGTTTAATAGCAGAAAATCAAAATATAGTTTTTTTTTTCTTAAAATTGTCGTTTATTTTTTGTAGCGAAAAAATAAAAAATGCACAGGAGATCAAATACCACTGAAAGATAGCTCTAATCTTGGAAAAAAAGATTCACAATAATGATAGGAAAAATTAATAAAAAGTTTTATTATGCGAGGAAACTCCGACCCCATGCCAGCGCTAACCCTGAGTAACAGAACATTCAATGAAAAAAAAACAGCATTCAGTAATAGACTCTTTAATTTGAAAATATATAATAACAGCAACACGTATTGTTTATTTATTTTTTGCAAAGAAAGAGAGGAATCAGTATTCCATCTAGTGATAAGCAATTATGGATTATCTCATTGCTGCAATAAATATAGTATACATGTGTCAAGTAATTGGATGTCTCTTGTCCATAAAAAATAGTTAAAACCAACACTAATTTATTTCTGAATAGCCCCCTTGAGCCCTATACTGGCTGCCCTCAGCTGATTCCCACTTAAAACTGCCATTACCACTGACCTTTTTGTCCAGGAGTCCCAATTTTACCAGGTTCTCCCAGTCGTCCCTGATCACCTACAAAAGTGTATGAGTTTAGCATGGAATGGGAATACAAGACACATGGCTTTGTTAAATGATTTATATTCACAATATGAACATTTTTTGTTTTCTTTACAGAGTACAAAGAGTAACAAACACGTGTAATAATGAGGTCCATGTAAACTAGCATTCAGTGAATCCAGAGAATGGGATCTGTGCTGCACACCATCCATCAGAGAATGGGGTCTGTATTGTACACCATCCACCAAAGAATGGGGTCTGTGCTGCACACCATCCACCAGAGAATGGGGTCTGTATTGTACACCATCCACCAGAGAATGGGGTCTGTATTGTACACTATCCACCAGAGAATGGGGTCTGTATTGTACACCATGCACCAGAGAATGGGGTCTGTGCTGCACACCATCCACCAGAGAATGGGGTCTGTATTGTACACCATCCACCAGAGAATGGGGTCTGTATTGTACACCATCCACCAGAGAATGGGGTCTGTGTTGTACACCATGCACCAGAGAATGGGGTCTGTGCTGCACACCATCCACCAGAGAATGGGGTCTGTATTGTACACCATCCACCAGAGAATGGGGTCTGTATTGTACACCATCCACCAGAGAATGGGGTCTGTGCTGTACACCATCCACCAGAGAATGGGTTCTGTATTGTACACCATCCACCAAGAATGGGGTCTGTATTGTACACCATCCACCAGAGAATGGGGTCTGTGTTGTACACCATCCACCAGAGAATGTGGTGTGTGTTGTACACCATCCACCAGAGAATGGGGTCTGTGTTGTACATCATCCACCAGAGAATAGGGTCTGTGTTGTACACCATCCCACCAGAGAATGGGGTCTGCGTTGTACACCATCCACCAGAGAATGGGGTCTGCGTTGTACACCATCCACCAGAGAATGGGGTCTATGTTGTAGCCACCAGAGAATGGGGTCTGTGTTGTACACCATCCACCAGAGAATGGGTTCTGTGTTGTACACCTTCCACCAGAGAATGGGGTCTGTGTTGTACACCATCCACCAGAGAATGGGGTCTGCGTTGTACACCCTCCACCATAGAATGTGGTCTATGTTGTAGCCACCAGAGAATGGGGTCTGTGTTGTACACCATCCACCAGAGAATGGGGTCTGTGTTGTACACCATCCACCAGAGAATGGGGTCTGTGTGTACACCATCCACCAGAGAATGGGGTCTGTGCTGTACACCATCCACCAGAGAATAGGGTCTGTATTCTACACCATCCACCAGAGAATAGGGTCTGTATTGTATTGTACACCATCCACCAGAGAATGAGGTCTGTATTGTACACCATCCACCAGAGAATAGGGTCTGTATTGTACACCATCCACCAGAGAATGTGCTGTGTGTTGTACACCATCCACCAGAGAATAGGGTCTGTGTTGTACACCATCCACCAGAGAATGGGGTCTGTGTTGTACACCATCCACCAGAGAATGGGGTCTGCGTTGTACACCATCCACCAGAGAATGGGGTCTGCGTTGTACACCATCCACCAGAGAAT